TTTTTTTTTTTTTTTTTTTGCTTCATCTGATGATAGCTTATTCAGTTGTTTTTAATACCAAAACGACTAATACATAATAATACAGATATATGTTTCAATTCAAAAGTCAAAAAATAAAAGCTCAAAATCAATCAACAAACTTTACAAAAAAAAAAAAATTCTACTTTTAAATTATACCATAAACATCTACCAAAACTATCTTCTACGTTAGTATCTATTGCAACTTCTTTTTTTGTTTTTGCAAAAATACTACAAATTATTGCTTAAGATTATTGCAACTGCTACCTACGATTGATACTATTAATACTATAAATACTATTACACACTGCAATATCTTTTCATCATAATTTCGTTTTTAAATCAACTAGATATAACCCCAATAGAAACGAAAAAAAGTAAAGCCAAAACTGTGAGAATAGGTATAAAGATAAGAATATACACAAGAAAAGAAAGAATTTTTTTTAACTACATAAATCGACAAAATAATTTTTGATAAGTAAACTGTTCACTTAGCTTTACCTCTTCACCTAAAAACCTATACACGCACACACACACTGAAACAGAAAAATCTACTCACAAATATTGATTACAAAGGATACAAACTGTACAAATTTTAAGCCAATTAGAAAAAAAAAAAGTAAAAAAAGTGAAAATAAAAACCAAAAAAAAGTAAATTAAAAATAAATTCTAAGAATCGAAACAGTTTGTAGGAAAAAAAAAACCCGCACACACACACACACACACAGAATTGTCACTTTCACAGCTTTCAACAGTGATTGTCGACACCATTAGTTCATCGGTCTGTTCTGTTCACCCACTTTGTTCTCCGATAACATTAAGCCAACTAAACTGTACTGCTGGTGCTGCTGCTGTTGCTGCTGCTGCCATTGCCGTTGATACTAAACGCTGTTTGCCGAGGTTGTTGTTCGCTTTGAATTTGCATTCTGTCCCTAACAGATGTGTGTGTATCTGTGTGTGTGTATATGTGTGATATTCTTTATTTTTCTTTTTCATTTTGTTTTTTTTTTTAATTTTATTATTTTTCATCAGCAAAACAACGAATAACTTTATGAGCTATTATTTTTTTTTAAAAAAATAACAACAAAAAATAAGAACAGGAAAATTATGTTATTCATTTTGTGGAACTT